GAGCGGGAAGCGGGATAAAAGGGCTTCTCAGCACTTCCATTTCGTTAGTTTCTGTTATGTATTAGCAATCATCATCGGGAAAAGATTTGATAGAGATATGTAAATAATGCATCAAAACTTGTTTGAACAATCATGGAAACAAAATATTTTTCTCTTGTGTTTTATTTCTTTAAAGAGGGAGTAAGGCTAGGGTATTCCATATTAAATGTTTTTTGACATTTCAGAATCCTCCCCTCTTATCTTTTTTTTTCTTTTTTGCTTTTTGCAACATCTGTTGCACAACGATTTGTGTCGTTATCGCCTCCCTTTGCAGCGCTCGGTGAGTGTATAAGACCATGGAAGAAAGGGATTGTGCAAAGAATTCACCGAAGGAGAAAAGAAGAAAAGCGAAGCAGAAACAAGAATAGCAAAGAAAAGCGAATAAACGAAGAAAAAAAAAAAAAAAACACGAAAAAACAAACAATATATCATACCACGTACTGAGGAATTGTGATACAGAATCGTTAAAAAAATTCTACTGGAAAACGTTTGGTGACAAAGCTATCTAAACACAGGGATGCCACTTTAAAATTTTTTTGGGGCTTGAAATATGAAATACGATGCAAATAATAATCTCTTGATATACTCTACTGTACATAAGTGCTTGAAATCAGCGACGCTATCTTTGTTTATTATTTATCCTTTCCATCCAATTTCGCTTCTTTTGTTAACTCTTTTTTTTCTTTTGGTTCTAGAAATAGAGCAGACACCAGGAATTTCTCCTTGGTTTAGTACCTTTCCCATCAGAAAGGGATTGACCTTGGGAGAGAAGAAGAAAGCACAGGTGACACATTCCTTCCAAGTAATTTGAACGAAAAAGGAAAAAGATACAGTTGTGTTAGAAAGGAAAACAATTAAAAAAGTAGAACACTTAAAAAAGAAAAAAAAACCGAGAATCAAAGGGGTAGTGGAAGGTATATATTCAAGGAGGTAATGCCCGCGAATGACTGTGTTCTGATGGACAAGATTATTGAGGGAGATGGGAAAACTATCCCACGCAAAGGCAGCATTGTGACCCTTGATTATGTTGGTTTTTTGCCAGATGGTAGAAAGTTTGACTCCACTATTGAGCGTGGAAGGCCATTTGTTTTTCGTGTGGGTTGTGGGGAGGTTATAAAGGGATGGGACGAAGGAATTGTGCAGATGTCAAAAGGAGAGCGAAGCCGACTCACCATGCCCCCCACTTTGGCTTTTGGTTCCACCGGATTCCCTGGTATGATTCCTCCTGACACCACCATCGTATTTGAAGTGACACTATTGGATGTAGCTTAGGGCCAGGTTTGCGGCAACTACGCATGTAAACTTGCACCAGAAGAAAGGAGTTGCAGATGTGCCAATGCCTTTCTTCTTCTTTTTTTTCTCTCTCTCTCTTTTTCTCTCTCCCTTCTTTCACAGAGAATCTCTGGAAATTGATTCAAACCTGGCATCTGTATGAATCACGAAAGTGGGGATAATCCAAAAAAAAAAAAGGAAAAAAAAAGACAATATAATTACAAAAGAATAATTTTCTTTTTTCTTGGGGAAAAATAAAGCATAGTATATGTGTATTTGTGTGACTTCAATTCTCTTTGCTTTTTTACTTTTTTATTTATTCTCGAAAGCTTCTCTTTCCATTACAAGAATATTGACTAAGAAAAAGAAATCTCCCTTCCCCCCACAAAAAAAAAAAGGAGTAGGGTAAAAAATGATGTCAGATGATGCTACAAAGGCGGAGCCAGTGCCCCAGGTTGATAGTGGAAGGACTACTCTTAACCCATCTGGTGGTGTGAGCAAATTTGCCTTTCTACGACGTTGCTACTTTAACGCATTTTTCTCCGCGGTGATTGTGGAATTTATAGGAACGTTCTTGTTGGTTCTTACAGTGCCACTTAGTAGTATAAATAACGCAGAGATGGCCCCATTTTCTGTAGGGTTTATGCTTATGTCGTTGGTCTTTTCCTTCGGTTATATGAGTGGCGGTCACATGAATCCAATGGTCTCTTTTGCTGTATTTCTTAGCTCTGCCAATTTCGGAAAATCTCGTATGCTCTTTTACTTTATAGCACAAATGCTTGGTGGGGTGGCAGCGGCCTTTTATTGTGTATTAATTCATGGTAATGATTTCCCAGTACCTAACATGGGTTTGGACTTTGTGCAAATGTTACGAGGTTTTCTGGCCGAAAGTATCTTTACTTTTATTTTGACTTCTGTCGTTCTACATGTTGCAACTAGCAAGCAACGGAATAACAATTTTTATGGTTTCGCGATTGGTTCTGCAGTTCTTGTGGGTGGTTTAACATGTGGTTCCATTTCTGGTGGGTCCTTCAATCCTGCTGTTGCCACTTCGTTGATAGTCGTCCGTTGTTTTGTATCGTTTTCAGAGACAGGATGTACTCCAATGGCATCACTATGGGTTTATTGGGCATCCGAAGCAGTTGGGTCAATCACCGGCACAATATTATATCTCGCAGTTCAAAATGTGGAAGAACGATTTTAATAGAGTGATAGGAAAATATAGTAAGTGAGTTTTCAAAGTAGCTTGTGATAAACGTTTTTTTTTTCTTTTTTTTACTCTCATTGCACCTTACATTGTCTTTGGGGAATCAAGAGATAAAGAGAGAGAGAGAGAGAGAAGTGTGTGAAGAGTGGGATTGATTTATTATGTGGACGCGATCGTTTAGCTAATAAAATATGGGTGTGTATGCCATATTATTATTATTATTATTATTATTATTATTATTATTTTTTTTTTTTTTTTTTTGATTTTTGTATTCAATCGGTGAAGGTCCTTCTCACTTCAAAATTTCCTCTTAATCCTCTTATTTATTCTTACCCTCTTATGGAAATAGAGGTTTTCAGTAGTTCTTCTACAGTCTTTTTTTTTTTGAAATTATTTTTCTTGTTTGAGAGCAGCACAAACACACTGATACATAATGGCCGCACTTACTGATGAGCAAATCCGAGAGGCGTTCAACCTTTTTGATGCTGACGGCTCCGGCGCTATTGATGCAGAAGAAATGGCACTGGCAATGAAGGGACTTGGCTTTGGTGATCTGCCGCGGGACGAGGTGGAACGTATGATCCGCACAATGGATACAGATGCCAATGGTCTGATTGAATACGGTGAGTTTGAACGTGTGGTGAAGTCACGTATGGCTCAGAAGGACTCACCAGAAGAGGTACTGAAGGCATTTCAATTATTTGACCTTGATAAGAAGGGAAAGATTTCATTTGAAAACCTGAAGGAGGTGTCGAAGCTATTGGGTGAGAATCCCGGCGATGACGTACTGCGTGAGATGATTGCTGAGGCTGATGAAGATGGTGACGGTGAAGTGTCCTTTGAGGAGTTTAAGAACGTTATGATGCAAATGCGTGGAAAGTAGATGTGTTAACAGGAGGAAAAGTTGTTGGGACTTTGAGGCTATTCAAACCCCATCGTACCTCATTGCGTATTATTGTAGAGCATCATTAATTATCTGCTTATAGGAAAATATCGGAGGTTTTTGTTTTTTAGAGATATGAGCGAATCTACATATACTCATTATTATTATTATTATTATTATTTATTTATTTATTTATTTATTTATTTTTAGTGAGGGTACAGTCAGGATATCACAGAGTGAGATAAGCTTGACTCATGTACGCTAAAATATGAATCCTATTTTTTGCATGATGATGGGAAAAAACATCTTGACTCAACTTTCCCCTTTTTTGCTTTTTTGCTTTTTTTTTTTATTTTTACTTATTTTTCGTATGTTGTTTTAGATTATTCTTTGCTACCAGAAAGTGAATTTTTCAATAGTTCTTCTACAGTCTTTTTTTTTTGAAATTATTTTTCTTGTTTGAGAGCAGCACAAACACACTGATACATAATGGCCGCACTTACTGATGAGCAAATCCGAGAGGCGTTCAACCTTTTTGATGCTGACGGCTCCGGCGCTATTGATGCAGAAGAAATGGCACTGGCAATGAAGGGACTTGGCTTTGGTGATCTGCCGCGGGACGAGGTGGAACGTATGATCCGCACAATGGATACAGATGCCAATGGTCTGATTGAATACGGTGAGTTTGAACGTGTGGTGAAGTCACGTATGGCTCAGAAGGACTCACCAGAAGAGGTACTGAAGGCATTTCAATTATTTGACCTTGATAAGAAGGGAAAGATTTCATTTGAAAACCTGAAGGAGGTGTCGAAGCTATTGGGTGAGAATCCCGGCGATGACGTACTGCGTGAGATGATTGCTGAGGCTGATGAAGATGGTGACGGTGAAGTGTCCTTTGAGGAGTTTAAGAACGTTATGATGCAAATGCGTGGAAAGTAGATGCATTGGTATATGTTTGCGAAAGATGGTGATGTGCTGAAGGACACATGAATATAGATGTTGGTTCTTTTGTTTCTGTATTTCTTTCCAATGGTGCCCGTCTTTTTTTTTTCAACTTAGAGATTTATTTCATTTTTTTTTTTTTTTTTTTTTTTTT